TCCCATGTTCATTACCTCCTTTTTTTTTTTTTTGTTCCTTGTCTTTTTATTTTCTTCTTTCTTTCTATAAATATACAGAATTTTTTTTTTCTTGTATGAATGTATCATGTATGGATGGGAGAGGTACTAATCATTTGTTTCCAGAATAATATTGTTTATATGTTAAGAAAATGAGTTTGAAAAAAAACAATTTTTAAAGCGTATAAAAATTAAAAATATAAGTAATTGATGGGAAAAAAAAAATAAAAAAGTGGAATATTGGACAAAAAAGAAAAAGAGGTGGAAGGGGTAAAACTGTAAAAGAAAAAGGTGTCAGTCACATGAAGGCAGCACTCACTCTACTTTGTAAATGGAAAAAAATGTAAGCATGCAGTCCAACAAATATTTTATTCATTGCATGCGATGCGTATTATTGCGGAATTAACGAAGAAAAATCTCGATGCATCATGGGGCGTTCACAATTCACTCCTAAAATTATAGATATACATATGCAAGTATATAAATATATAAACTCAAACACAGTATTACACGAAAATCAAAGTTATTTTCTATGCACATACGTAATTATGGTCAAATGCGATAATAGAACATATACTAATCATAATAAGCTCCGTAAAAAAAATGTCATACATGAATACACAATGTATCAACATTTTGATAAAAATGGAAAAGAAAAGGAGCAAGTGTGTTACGGCATGCATGTAGGAACCAAATATATCAAGATTCCTTTTTGTTTTCATGTAATTGTGTTAGATATTGAGATGAGTGCATTTCCATCAAATTATGTTTGTTTTTGGATCGATTTAAAGAAGGTTTTGTTTGGGTTTAGGGTTTAAACCGTACTGGACCGAAAATTTCGATATTTTTTCCAAATCGTACCGTTCAAAATTCCCGAACGGGATGATTTCTATAGAACTGAATTTTTCAGAACCGAATTGCACCAAACTTTATAAAATTTTCGAAAAACCGAAATTTTCTTAAGAAAATATATTTTTTTTAACAAAAACCGAAACGGAACCAAAACGAATAATATGTGGTACTAATTTGGTACAAAATTTATATTGACGAATAAACCGTTTCCAAACCGAACCGCTTAAATTCCGACCCGAATCCCGAAACGCCCACCCTAGTTTAAAGCGACCGATCCAAAAAGTTACAAAAGCATGTAGAGATCCCTTGTGTTTGTTGCTCATCTCCATTTAAAAGAAGTCAAGCTTCGATCATTCATGAAACACGTTAAAGATATGATTGTGTTGTTTGGAGTTTAGAGTTTTCAAAATTAGGGTTCTTTCTTCGGTTTCTTCCTAACCCGCACGATGACGCTGGTTATAACAAACACAGCAAGAAATGAGGCTAAAATGGACGTCTCTGGTGGCCCTTTACGCCTCCATGGCGGAGGCACTGATGCGTGAACTCTCATCGTTGCAAACCTCGTTCCTGACTCTCCAGTCCTGCAAATGCAACACATGAAATGACACGTCACGCCATCGACTCCTCTGAACGATTCACGGATTGATGAATGAAACTGGTTTCAGTACCTCCTTACAAAGCTCTTCACTTTTTGCCACACAGACGACATGCTTTTGAGACCCGAGACAGAAGCAGCAGCACCCTCCCCTTGTTCAGATTCTACAAAGTATGGACGGAGTACAAGAGTTTGATTTCTACCATAAAACAGAGTTTTGCTTCTTGTAAAAGACGGATTATAAGGGCATTTGTACCAGCATCGCTAGATCTTCTAAGGGATGAGAACTCCTCTAACAACTTGCGCTCTCTCTCGCTGCCATCCACGTTTTTTCAAGTTTTAGTGGCAGTAGACACAAAGTTTAACAGCAGGAAAGTGAAATTGAAACAAACCTGAGATCTTTGGGAATCAAAACGTTCACTATGAAGCAATGGTCGCCACGGACATAAGGTCTGTCCGTGTCTGGCACTCCCTTGCGATGCAATTTCACGGTGTCACCTGGCTGAGTTCCCGCGGGTATCTCAAGTTCCATTGTTCCCTCGACTGTTTCGACCTTGGGGTGGAGAAAATTGTCATGTTTCTCATTATCAGCTAAACCAAAAACAAGCTTAATGCTACCTTTGTGACTGCTCCAAGTATCGCGTCTGTGAAACCAATGTTGATTTTGGAGTATAGATTTAGGCCTTCCCTCCAAATTCCACGCCTCTCATCAACTCGAAGTACAATGAACAGATCACCAGCTCGTCTCCTGTTGAAAGCCAAAAAACAGATTGAGAAACCCGCTACAGGTATTAAAGCAGCTTCTTTTGTATTCTACATCCATCAAGTACCTTTTCTTGTCAACATTACCCTCCCCTTGAATCCGCATCGTGGCTCCATCACTGACACCAGGAGGGACTACCACGTCCATACTTTTCTTCGACCGCATTCTCCCATTCCCACTGCATTTTTGGCAGTTATCAGTAACAATCTTCCCTTCACCATAACATTTTGAGCACGTAGATACCTATACATCAAGGAAAAGTGGATTTGCCATTTTTAGGAGTATGTCAGCATTCCAAATTTCTATCAGTATGATGGATTACCTGAGACATCATTCCAAAAGGTGTTCTCCGAGTTTCCATTACACTTCCTCTACCCCCACAACTGCTACATGGTTTAATGGAACTGCTTGATTTAGCACCCGTTCCTCCACAACCATTGCATGTTTCTAAATAAGAAACCTCAATTTCCCGTTTTGCTCCAAAGACCGACTCTTCAAAGCTTAACCGCAGGTCATACCTAATGCATGTGCCAGGGAAGATAAGGAAACAATCAGAGCCTTTAAAAATTAGAGAAAAAACTGTTTGGTCTATAGCCCATTCTTGGTCTAACCAAGAAAAGAAAGCCTGTTCGCTGAACAGATTAGACACAGGCTAACTCAATGCGAGGAGGAGACACACAAACCAACAATCATTAAAGCCCTGTAGCTAATTCTAGCCAAAATGGTATCCCAAACATAAACAACGAACATTAAAACATGGAGAAGCCACAACTTTCAAGTATTTCACAGCTCATGAACGGACATGCAATGAGAAGCTTACGTACTTAATGTCAAGGTCCAGACTTTTCCGATTAATAAAATCAAAACCCATCCCTCCTGAATCACCCATTCCTCCAAAGAATGCACTGTACATCTCAAATGGATCCACCTGAAGATTGAAAACCAAAGATTAAGAGTTTGTCAGGCAAAAGCGTAAGCTTACTCTGAAATGTCTCATAGGTGACATACTCCTTGGGAATTGGCTTGTGATCCATCGAAATCAGCTTCTAAACCGGCCTCGCCGAAGCGATCATACAAAGATCTCTTCTCATCATCTGATAGGACCTACAAAAATGCTTCATAGGGACGTCGAATAAGGTACGACATAGAGTAAAAACCGCAGGTAATCAACACTAGGCATTACAGAAAACAACGGAGCTTTGACGTTACCTCGTAAGCAGCACTAATCTGTTTGAATTTCTCTTCAGCCCCAGGGCTCTTGTTCATATCTGGGTGATACTGTTCCACCATTGCAAACGACGAATAATAACAAAGCCTTCAAAACGAGTCTGTTGAAAATGCAAACTGGTAAAGAGGGCGAGTGAGTGGAACCTTGCGAGCGAGTTTCCTGTAAGCTCGCTTGACCTCATGCAAGGTTGCGTTGCGGCTGACGTTCAAAGTGGAGTAGTAATCGGTGCCAGCGGAGACGGTGACACCACGGCGGCGCTTCCCGCCGGAGAATCGACATCTTTGAACCCGCAGAAAGCTCGGGAGATTGGGGGAGAAGTTGAAGGACAACGTCGATGGCGGACAGTGTCGGAAGCTGTGGAGTGAGTTTACACAGGGTATCAGAATCGAACGAGCCGTAGACAATGCCATCGTTGGCATTTCCATGGCCGAATTCGAAGCGAGGGTTTTTAGGTGGGGTTTTTCGCTTCCAGTCCAGGAATCATATGATCATTTGTTTCGAAAATGGGCCACCAAATCCATGCTGAACACTCTACTTCAATAAATGGGCCTGGGCCTATCTCGCGTTTATTTTCGAGAGGGTTGACCCATGTATGATGTATGCGATTCCTATTTGGGGGTTGGAGCTTCCATTTGGTTCCGAATAATCAATCAAACCGAATAAAAAAATATAGTATTTTTTTCGATCCGAATCGTTTTAAGTTCCGAACGTTATTATTTTTAGAAAATTAAAATTTTTAAAATCGAATCAAATTTTAAAAAATACTGAAAACCGAATTATTTTAAAAGAAATATGTATTTTTTTAATAAAAAACATAACATAATATAAAAATTTATTGATAACTGTTTTCATAAAATCGAAAAAACCGAATCGATGTATTCCCGTTCTGAATGGAACCGATTTCTGAAATACCTCTATGACCCAATAAAAAATACCAAAGCATCTAGGATGCATAAGATAAGATGAACGAATGAGAGATAACTAGATTTTTCTTAAAGTGGAAAATGAGAGAAACCCTATTATATTTCTAGATATTATTATTATTTGGGACAATAGTCTAAAAGCTTACTAACTTTTAAAAAATTATATATAAAATTTATCAATTTTGTAACTTATATATAAAATCATAAATTTTATAAACCTTATTATATTTTCATATATTTACTAACTTACAAAATTTGTAACTTTCATATAAATTTATTAAAATATGGAAAGATTTATAAAATTTGACTCTATATAGAAATTATAAAATTCTTAATTTTATTTAAATTTTAAAAAAAATTATGATTTTTTAGACGATTATCTGTAATTATTTTATAAAAAATTGAGAACATTTATGACATTTTTCTATAAAATGATATAGTATAGTTCACAGTACGTAAATATTTTTTTTTATAGTTTTTCAATTTCTCACCGTCAATTTCATCATTGAAAAGTTTGAGGCGAGGGAAACTAATTTAATAAATAAAAAATGAGAATAATGTGAATTAAAAATTAAGATGGTCCAATGACAGTGACACGTCAGGACATCATCCATTGGTAACAATATTTGCGAATCTCTATGAACCCGATGCTGGAGCGCATATCAATGTCAAAAAGGTCCCGAATCCAAAGCATGACCACGTGCATGCACCCACGTCTTTGGAACATACATTGATTTCTTTTTTTATAAAGTTGCGCGTCTTTCGCGGAACTAAACGACATTTCACAGATTCTCGTATCCGATAGCCATTATCAAATATAACTTATTTTAATATTATGATAATGAAAATAAAATATAGCATTATGATAATGTCATCAATATGTTGGGGTTGTAACCATAACCATACAATACAAAGATGAGAGAGAAACGCAGATTATTGGAGGAAGAGAGGGAGTTGGTTAGTTGAGGAGGATGGTGGATTCGGCGACCATGGAGGTGACGACGTAAGGGTCCATGTTGGAGGCGGGCCTCCTGTCCTCGAAGTACCCTTTCCCTTCCTTCTCCGTGTCCCTTCCCACTCTCACCGACGCTCCTCTGTTCGCCACCCCCTGTGGGTTTTGAATTTCGTATTATACATACACATGTTACATGTATATACATACATATATGTCAAATGAGGAGGGCATGCGTGTACATACCCAAGAGAAGGTGTGGATGTCAGCAGTTTCATGCTTGCCCGTGAGACGCCGCTCGTTGCCCTCCCCGTAGGCAGCGATGTGCTCTTTGTGCCTCTTCTGAAGCTTCTCTATGGCTTTCCTTATCACCTCTATCCCTCCCTCGTTCCTCATCGACTTCGTACTGCCACATCATCCATCATCCGTCATTCAAGTTCAACACCTCATATACGCTACATTCTCTCCTCTGTTTTAACACTACCTGTAGTTGGTGTGAGCCCCGGCTCCGTTCCAGTCGCCCTGGATTGGTTTGGGGTCGAACGACACGATCACACCCGCAATCTCTGTGATCCTCTGTTACATTACTTATATTAGAAATTAGAATGACCCTCTTTCTTATACTTTAAAAAGAAAAAGGAATGCATTACCTCCAGAATGTAGCGAGCCACCCACACCTGATCACCAGCAGCGATACCCTCCACTGGACCCACTTGGAATTCCCACTGCCACACAGACAACACAAGTCACGACATACCCACACCTGTTGTACATGTACTGATCATCACCATCATCTGAGTCAAACCTGTCCAGGCATCACTTCTCCATTGACACCGCTGACGCTGATACCAGCGTACAGACACGCCTTGTAGTGGGCGTCCACGATGTCACGCCCAAGGGCCTTGTCCGCACCCACACCACAGTAGTATGGCCCCTGTCCCAAGCCCAACCCCAACCCCAAACCACTGTCAACATCTTACCACACTATATGACGGATGAGCAAAACAAGGATCCGTTGGATCTGACCTGAGGGCCAGGGTAGCCACCAACGGGCCACCCCAAGGGCCAGTTCACGTCTTTTTGCAACAACGTGTACTCTTGCTCTATCCCGTACCTTTCCAGATCCAAACATACATTTTCAGACAAATTTCCAACAATCACAGAGAAGAGAAAACGAGTCAGAGTACAAGGAAAGAATACCAAGGCTCTTCGGCCAACACGTCCGGGTGGCTGAATATCTTAGCCGCGTTGTGCCTCTTGTTGGTGAGAAGCGGCTCTCCCGCGGGTGTGTAAGCATCGCACATCACCTGATCCGATTTTTAATTACACGAAAACCTGGAGTGTTTATCATCGACTAAACGGATCATATAAAAAAAAAATCTCACCAGGATGTTGTTGCCCCTTCTGAACGGGTCCCTGAATATCGCCTGTGGGTAAAGAATGACTTCACTGTCATTCCCGGCGGCCTGACCGGTGCTGGAGCCGTCGTAGTTCCATTTGGGTAGCTGTGATGGGTCACTTACAGGCCCCGGCAGGGTCTTTTTTTTTTTTAATTAAAAAAAAAAAGTGCATATCCATGAGTAACAGTAAACAAAAAGCAACAAGGGAAGAGGATATACTCTATGTAAGCGTGTGTATATTCATTACCCTGGCTTTGCTCCTAAGATCCATTCCAGATCCACCGATCCTGTTCATCCCCAGACGCACAACCCCAGATCGTTAACATAAAAGCAAAGAGAAAGCACAATGACAAAACAGAGACAACAGCACCAGAATGCCTGCTTTAATCGACACAAGACAGCGGGAGATCCTACTCATTCATACCGAAATAAACATCGATAAATCAACAGAACTTCAATGATAAAGAAGGGATCGGACCATATGTACTCGGCGATGACTTTCTCGGTGGTTTCGGAGAGGTTGAGGTTGATGAGATCTGAGAGGAGAGCAGCCATGGCGTCGAGACGGAGGAAGACGATGAAACCGGTACCCGAGGGTATTCGACAAAACACTTCGCTTCCCCCACGGCGCCATTTTATAGGGCGTCTCCCCCCCTCGCGATATTTTGATTATATCGTATCAAGTGATTATCGCCTCTTGTTGTACATGGAATTATTATTGCCAGTAATATTTGTTTTTTTAGTTGTGTGTATTTCTAAATAAGCCCATCGACAGCCGAATTTTGTAACTTTCAGTTTGTGTGTGCGCACTAATAGGAAATCCAGCAAATACGGAAAATTGAAGTTAGCAAAACTGATTAGGAGATTGGGGAATTTTTTGTTGTATTAAAACAATGATTTATTAAAATATCAATAGAAATGTGTATTTATATAGTATCAAATTATTTATATATGAATGTTTAGAAAACGCTAAAATAAAGTTTTTTTTTTTGGAGTGAAAGAGTTGACTTTAGAAATTAGAAGTGGGTTGTTGCCACCAACCTACCACATCGATCATTTCCTTTTTTTTTTTTTAATTCCCTGACGCTGATAATGAACATCCGTACATTCAAATTCTCTTAGGTTATCATCGTTTCTCGCTCTCTGCATTGGTGCAACTCACGACTCAGTTTCGTTCATGTTCTACTTTCAAAGCAATATTAAGCCCAAGACATAAATTATAAGATTTCTGTGTTTGTATATATATATATATACACACACGGAATGGATACGAGACATACTTTGTATTCCAAAAAAATATATATATATATATGCGGAGGTTGGAACAAAACCCACGACAGATGGGGCAAAGCTTTACTAATACTAGCAATGAAAAAAAAACATGTTTTTGCACAATGCCCACGGTATCTTTTCCTTTAGAAAAGCAACAATTCGAATCTCAACATCTATTTATCCACTAATTTGATTTTTTTTTTATGTTAATCTTTTTTAAGTCACAAACTCCAAAGGATTGCAATTATGGCCTATAATACATATATATACACATATACATAATTATATAGGGGGTGAGAAAAAACTCCAAAATTCGGATATCCAATCTGATCCGCGAATCGGATACCCGAAATTCTGAATATCCGAGACAATAAGATGCAAAATCGGATAATAATATTGGAATACCCAAATTTTCGGATTCTGGTAATTGAAATTGTCTTATAGGTATCCGCCGGTATCCCAATAATACAAAATTATCTTTGTAAATTTTAGAATTTATATTATATTTTACGTTACGTTATATTTGAAGTTAGTGATTATATAGATATTATTAGATATGTTTATCAAATATTTTAAAAAACTCTAAGTGTAATTTAGATATAAATATGATTTAAATTGAATTCGAATGATTATGAATATATATATATATATATATATATATATATATATATCAACAACATAG